CAAGGGGTGGGGAGGGGGGGAGGCAGTTGTGGGGGGGGCCTGGGATTGGTCTCACAGAGCCCCCTCCTGTGTTCCCAGCACTGGGCCCCTTGGTTGGTGTCTCAGTGCTGGAAGGAGCAGAAGGATGCTCTGAAGACTGGGGAGTGAGGTGGCAGGGTGGAGTAGGGCCTCAGGGGTAGGATAGTAGAGAAGTCCCTCTTGAGATGTCAGCTGTGGATGAAGAAAGAGGAAAGAAGGGCTGTCCCCAGCAAACTCGCCAATACATTTATGGTGTGGAGCAATACTGTATGGTCAGTCTGGGGTCAACTGCCCTGGGTTTCCGCTTCCCCCTCTCTGTGCCTGGTTATCTCAAGGCCACTGAGAACCCAGATCATCACATACCAGCATTAGCTGAAAACTAAAAGTGTCTGATCACTTTGTCCACATAAAATAGAGTGAGGTAGTCCTTCCAGAATTGCAGTTTTCCTCAACAGAAAACTGAGTCTCAAATTGTATCCCAGTAAACCAGGCCAATGGAGAAGAGCAAGACACAGCCGTGAAATCCTCTTCCTGCTGCAGAGGCCCCTTGCTGCAGCTCTGGGCTCCCTGTCCACTTCCCAAACCCTTGGGCCAGCTGGAAGCGTGGGGCAGTGCCTTTTATTCCCTTCCACTCTCTCCCCTCCCATGCTCAGCTGAGTGGGTGCGTCCAGGGGGGGAGGTCCCAGCTCTTGAGGGGCCAGCGCTGGGGGCTCCCTGTGGTGGCCCTGCTGATGCCGCTGCTCTCTGTCCTGCAGATCACCAGCAGCTCTGCTGGGAAGGATGTGCTCACCAGTATATTCAGTGCCACTGCGGAAACCCTCTCCACTTCCACCACTACCCACGTTACCAAGGTAGGAGCAGCTCCAAGCGGGGCAGCCACAGGGTTCCTGATCCAAGCCGCTGGGGTTTGGGTGGGTTTATATTGTGGTTGGTACAGCAGAAAATGCCCCTTTCCTCCTTAAAAGCTGAAAAATATTCTGTCCTGTGGGGGCTGGTGAGGCAGCATAGCACCCTGTGCCCAGTTCAGACCTGGGGGACAGCGGGGGTCTGCAGGCAAGGACAGGCAGGCACTGGGTGTGCATCCCCTGCAAAGCGTCCATGTGGACCGCGAGCGCTTGCTGTGCCCACCTCTACTCAGTGATAGATTGGGAGGGCAGGGAGTCGTTGGGGCAAGGAGGAAGAGCAGTACACAGTGTCACTGGACCTGATGCCAGCTACGGGGCTGTACGGGGCTCCCATTTAGGCTGCCTGCAGCATGCATGTGAGCGAGTCCCTGCCTGTGCAACTGGGCCAAGTGTCCCCAGATGGACCTAGAGCCAGTCCCCAGGTCCCCCTGGCCACAGAAGCCCACAGCACTGGAGCATCTCGCCTTGGGTCAGCTATGGGAGCTGTGTTAGTGTGGGGCCTGTTGGGTTTATTAGAGCTGGCCTGGTGCAGGCAAGGGGGGAGTGATGGTAGGAAGAGAAGAAAATGAGGCTGCATCAGAGGACCTCGCCTGTGGCCGTTTCATCCACAAATGGAGTGCACATCAGTGAAAGCAGAAGCCTGGTGAGGGACCTGAGCAGGAGGAGGAGTGCTGGGTCCCACTTGTCCTTTCCTCCCCACCTGTGTTCTGCTGGTCCTCACCATGCAGCAAGTCAAGGGTAGTGGGAGATACCCTCAAATTATGGGGTGGGGGATCCTAAGGTGGTGCCGGTGTTGTCCCTCCCCATGGGCAGAGCGACATGTGCCCGGAGCTGCCTCGTCAGACAGCCGTGGGTGAGTGCTTCCCTTCTCGTTGTGCAGACTGTGAAAGGAGGGTTTTCCGAGACCAGAATAGAGAAGCGCATCATTATCACAGGGGATGAAGACGTGGACCAGGACCAGGTAGGAGCAGGATGCCCTGGTTTGCCCAGCTCTGCAGCACCGCATGCTTCTGGTGCTGGCTTGTACCCCTTTACTCCTGCTCACCATAAAACTGACCCTTGAGGCCCAACACCTACCAGCTCTGTCTGGCAGTACAGGTCCCTACGGACACCCACATGAAGCCCCAGCCGCTCCCATCAGAGCCTGCTGCAGTGGTGCAGGTTACAGCCCTGGTGGAAGCACCTTTTTATTTTCTTAAAATACATTTCCAGTTGCCCTTCCTCTGTTGAAATGCTCCAAAGTGACCCAGGTTCTTCCTCTCTCCCCAGCACGGTCTCACTCCAGGTTGAGTCACTCGAGGTGCTGGTGTTTTGCATCTGCCTCTGTGACAGAGGAACAAGAAGTAACAAACTTTTATGATGAAATAACAGAGATCGACACCAAGCCCTAGGGCCGCAGGGCTCTGTGGCCTCACCCTTTGGGATTTGTTGCTTAAGAATAAAAATTAAAGAGCTAAAGTATTTTAAAGGCTCTAAAATATTTTTTTTTTAGTTTTTTTTAGAATTTTAATGATAATTAGGTTATTATTGTAGATTTTTCTAGCATTTTGCTGCAGAGAGAATTGCTGCTGTTCCTTTGCTTGGGTTTCAGTAAGGAGCGTGGCAAACAAAGCAGCAAGAGAAGGGAAGTGCATGAGGCATCTCAGTGGTGGGCTGCAGCCTTTTCTGCCAGGCTACTCTGGGTTCAGCCTTGTACCTCTGCATCCATGTCCTCCTGGAATCCCACTGAGCTCCAGCTGCTTTCTGGCTGGCTGGAAGCACTGTCCTGGGTTTTGGGGAATGCTTTCCATGCCCCGTCATTAGAAGTGTTCAAGGCCAGGTTGGACAGGCCAGCAACCTGCTCTAGTGGAAGGTGTCCCTGCCCATGGCAGGGGGTGGGACTGGATGAGCTTTAAAGGTCCCTTCCAACCCAAACCATTCTGTGGTTCTGGTTTCTAGGCACTGGCTTTAGCAATCAAAGAGGCTAAACTACAGCATCCCGACATGCTGGTAACCAAAGCTGTGGTATACAGAGAAACAGAACCTTCTCCAGAGGAAAGGGACAAGAAACCTCAGGTAGGTGGAGAAGTTACCAGGTATGATTTGTACTGGCTGTGTGAGGATGGATGTGACTGGGCAGAGGTGTCTCTGGTTCCCCCCCAGCTGCAGTGCTGGTAGGGTTTGCTGCTCCTGGGCATCAAGAGTGGCAGCTCTCGGGCAGCAGTTCCAGAGTGACTGTGGCTCTGGGCACGGCTGCGTCGCTGTGGTTAGAAAGCCAGTGCTGTGCCACCGAAAGCAATCTTGCAGATGTTACCTTGCTGTGTCACCTGCTCAGCAGAGGGCTCAGGGGCACTTGCACCTAAGCAGAAAAGGACCTGCTTGTCCCCCTGGGGTGAGGAGGGAAAGGGGTGGAGGAGCGGAGAAACTTGGCTGCAGGTTCTGCAAAGTCAGTCCAAAGTGTCAGACCAGTGTCTGCAGAAAGCAGAGGTTTCTTCAGTCCCGTTCAGAGCCCAGGTTGTCTTTTCACATGCAGCTGCAGGCAGCAGCACACGAGGTTTGCATCTCCCTGTAAATGCCCCAAAGTACTCACAGCCCCAGACGTTTTTCATCAGGGCAAGGCTGGCTTGAGCAGTCCTGCCCCACTCCTAAACCCCTGCTCTGCCCCCATTGCTCCCCCAGCAGCCTGGGTGGTGGCTGCAGCTCCTGGATGGTGGCACAGCCCAACAGCCCCCGGCGCTGGAGCAGCTGAGGGACAGAGAAGTGGGGTGGTAAGGAGAGGGGGAGCTTCTGAGGGCATCTTCACTGCTGAAAAACATATGAGAAGCTCTGGCACCAGCCAGGCTGCAGGTGCATTTTGAGAGGCCTCTTTGGAGCTGGGATTTTGTGTTTCTTTATCATATGAAGATTTTGATTGGCAACTTTTAAGCTTGGAAAAGTGACCAGCTCCATTGTAGGTTGAGAGGTAAGAAGAGGCTCTCCTATCTGCCTCACCTTACAGATTAACCATCCTGTCGCACAGTACAAACAAGCAAGCCCAGACACTTCTGCATCGCTCAGGGAGCCACCCAATTTTAATGGAATGGCTTAAAGTAAGGGAGCAGAAATTCCCCATCATTGCCATGTACACCAACACCAGCTTGGTGAATTAAGAGTTCCTGCTAATTACCAGAGGTCCTAGTAATGAAGTGCAAACTGTGGCCTCAAGTGTTTGCAGATTTACTGTCTGCTGCCCTCATGCGAAGGGGAGCCCTTTTACAGCACCCTGTGACCGGTCCTTTCCATCTGCCTCACACAGGAATCTTGACCAACATGTTCATGGGAGGCGGCATCTGTGGTGAAACCTGGAGAACAGCGGAGAAGGAGCCTTCGTGCTGGAGTTGTCAGCAAGACACAGACATCCTGGCTGCAACGTTCATGGCAAGAGACAAAAATCTTTAAAAAAGGAATAGCAGATATATTATATATATATATAC